TGGCCGCTTAATACAGGGCCGTTATATACAGGTTCTACTGTATAAATGTATTTAAGCTTTAATTCAATTAGTTCTGATACTGCTGGGCGGCTATCTGGGTTATCAAGTCATTCAATAATTATTTACGTCCAGAACTCAAGTAGGGAAAAGTTGGTAGCCACCTTGTTGTTATGTCAGGAGTTTGTTTCACGCATTTCCAAAAGTGGAATTACTCCAGGTTGCGTTACCTCGAGAATCGCTCTTAAAGCCTCTGCTACTACTGTGTTTAACCAACCACTTGAAAAGTACCGTCAACTCATTTAATGTGGCCATTTCGTGATGGAACAAAATCCGACCAATGGAAGAGCAATTCTTTTGAACTCGTTTTATTTACAACCAATACATCAGTGATCATATAATTCACTTTTTACGTGCGCAAGTAGAACAGACAAGGTTTTACAACGTCGATGAAGTTGAATGCAGTTCTTTACAAAAACTACCTGCAAGAAACTATTTTTATGAATGAAAGTCTATTTACAAGTTCGAATTCATCAGAGTTGTTGATAAAATTCACCAGGTGAAACCCAGTCGCTTTCTGCTGTGGCCCGGATTGCCGTAAATTTTAGTATGTGAACCCTGTACTGTCTCATCGGAGTAATTGGGCAATTGCACGCCGGTTCCATCACATACAAGGTAACTTGGTCGAAGCCCCTTTTTGCCATCAAATTTGGGCCCTCGGCCCCCTCCGGGTCCTTCTCGGGCAGCTTTGATAAGTGGGTATGGATTACGGTCGTGCGCCTTGGCCTCAGCAATGACCTTGCTGGCGTATTCTTGGAATTGCACCTCTTCCTCCTTGAGTAGGGCCCCGTTGCGGTTATCCAAGTCTAATTCTGCCGCTCTGGCTTGTTGCGCTCGGTCTTTCAGTTCTCCCTGGTAACAAAATAGAAAGGCTTGCTTAGGTCAAGTGATTTCTGACGATTGAGGGACGAATTAGTGAGACGGGACAATGGGATAATGGACAATTAGTCAGAGGGTGTCACGGGACGTTTACGGGACTATTTAGGCATTTGTCTGGAGAGTTAAGTCATTCTAGGTTTGTCAGTCCTAGTGTTCGTCCACTTTTTTTTTTTATTAAGCTTTTGTTATATAAACAGCTTGTACACTATATAATTGCAAAATGTTCTAGCTTATTGATTTTGTACCCTTTCCTCGGGGTTTCTTGCTGGTGCATTAGATGAGGAATACGTTTCGTCTCGGTCCCATCATAAGCATTTACCGAACAATATCGTCGAATTTTCGTGTTACCGTAGCACTTACATACAAAACCCCTTCTTATTCTAAAAGAACTTACGATTTGCTGCGTTTGGAACTCTTTCAACTTCTTGCATTCGCCAAGTTGTTCAACGCGCTTCTCTTCTTGTTTCAAGTGATACTAAGCAACAAAAGAAACAAAACAGTTAGAATGTTGGCCACCTTCGCTCAATTGATCACTGATTAATGCAATTCAAGAGTTTTCATTGGCTTAGCCATCGTGGTATATGGGCCAATATACCATGCTCTACGAATATGGTGAGTGTACGCGTAACTTTTTCGCGCGTTTTTATTTTTATTATACTTTACTTTTCTATATTTTTGGGACGTCTTTAATAAAACAATAATTCCACTACACTTGTTAGATATGAAATATTAAAGACTATCGACCATCTCATATCCAACGCGCGTTAGTGGAATAATTGTTAAGTTAAGGGTTGCGGATTGAACATACCAGTTTATCAGATTCCACTCTGTTTCGAAGTATTTCACGATCCTTCTTGGCTTCCTCCATGGCTTGCCGTTCATTCTCTTTCATCTACAACGAAAACAAGGCAATAACGGTTAAGAATGAGTGAGAAAATAACGTTATAATTTACAGTACATTGTACTAGAGATTAATCACATGTTTCTTTCCGCACATTCAATTTGTTTGTAATTAACCTTGGAGAAGGATTATTCGCCGCTAAAATAGATTGCCCATTAAAGCAGACAAAATCAAGAGCTGTCGATCAGATCAAGTCTTCATCTACATGACTGTAGATGAGATCGTTGTAGTATAGCTATCAAATAAATAAGAAAACAGGTAATACACGAAACTTTGCCACCTCTTGAGAATTGCTTCTGTCATATGTTAATCAAAAAAAAATTGATAACGGTACATGTACATCCCTGTTCAAAACAAATAAACTGGGCTTACACTGGATAAATAAGATAAAAAAGCATTCTAAAAAAAACAAAACAGTTTACCATGTAGATCCTGTGATCATGAATTTCCTTTTTCGTCTTCATGTCGGACTCGTATTTTTGTCTCTCTTCCGCCTAAAAGAACAAAGACCAAGAAGCATGAATAAACAAGTCTCTTCCAAAGAACGAACTGTATTTGTCCTGCCATTCACTCATTTAATACTGTATCGTTTTGTTTTCTCCATGAATTGATCCATCTGGTCCAACCTTTTGTAGAAAAAAAGTGCGAAGCTTACGTTGATTTGGAACTGGCTGGTAAAGAACTTTGCTCTCATCGATTGGAGCAATGTGTCTAGACAGACACCTCCAACTTACATTTTTATCGCTTATTAGGCAGCAACGAGCAAATGTAGTGATGATAGTGGGTGTGCCCCCTAAAAATGCTAGCCTTTGCAAATTCTCTTGCTAGTACTAGTGCAAGAGGTGAGGCAGTTTCACTTTCTGTCCGTTCGCTAAGAAAATGGAATCAAAGATTTGTGTCGACTGACCTCGCGTTTGCTTTCCCTTTCTGCTACAGCCTTTGCTATTCTGTCATCTTCATCATCGACTTGCTGTTGTTTCTGATTAGCGAGCTTCTTTCGCATTCGTTCAGTGTGATCTTGGAACGCTCTGTAAACAGAAATCAGCAGAACTTATCACTTTAAACGGCCACAAAGACAACAACAACAACAACAACAACAACGATTGATGATAAAAACTGGCGTTTGTTGAACTCTGTAAAAAGTTTTGATAACAGCAAGTGTGCACTTATTTCAGCCAATAAACAAGTTCCAAAACCACTTGTGACTTGGTCTGAACGCGTTTTCCCGCGCTTGGCTCCGGTAGCATGTGTTTGCTTCAAGTTGTGATAGGTTAATAATAATAATAATAATAATAATAATAATAATAATAATAATAATAATAATA